CAGTTGTTGCATTGAAAAGTTACTATTCCAGTCACTGGCTGTTCTTACAGATAAACAAGTTCAATTGCCTGGAGTTTTAATTACATCAATAACATGTTACATGTGGTCAATAGAATCTCATATGTCAAGGCCATATTGAATGACTCATTTTCCAGGCATTTGTAGGGTCCCACATGCTGCTCCATTCCCAATCGAAAATGACATGTATTTAAAGAAAAATTACCTTGTTTTCCCAACTAACAGTTTGTATGAAAATATGCAGCATTTAAAAAAAATCTTTGGTTCGATAATAGACATAAAATATGATTGTAAAAATTGCTTGAGTCTGGGCAATTTCGAGTGTTTACTGGGCCTCCACTGCTTGAATGACAAGAAATACGTCGTTAAAATGATGAATGAAGCAAGCAAAATGAATATATTAGTTACATTACTGACTTACCGAGTTTGATATTTTGCCACTTGCATGAAATAGGCATATCATTGAGCAAATACTGATCCCAATTTTCTTTTTCAACATTTTAACAAAAATATCTAGTTCATGTTTTGTTTGCTGGCGTTCCCAATAAGTACCAGTCGCCCGAGGCAAATTAACTTATATGCTTGGCATATACAATGTGAAATATTCGTTTGACATTTTCCAGGGAAGAGGCGCAGGTCCGATAATCAAAGAAAACGGGACAATAGTTCAGCATTGCTGTTTTGATTGGTGCAAAAGGGAACTTAATACTTGTGAACTTTCAACTTATTTCAAATGCATATCCTTAATTATTTAATTATTTAACTCACTCGTCGATTTGCCACTAACAAAATTCATACTTACACCGCAACAGAGCGATTGTAATCTTTTAATATTAACAACCTCTATACTCTGCACTCTCTTTGCCGGATGCACGTGAAAAGCGTCATATGGTCCCAGTATGATCTTGATCAACGAAACGTTTGTAGCAAATAAAGTTGTGACCAGCGGTAAATTATGAAGTTATAATATTTAAGTTGATTTCTTTTTTATGCCCCCTGATCTTTGGCCAACATATGAAAAAAAAAAAAAAACAACAAAAAAACCAACAAAAAAAAAAACAAAAAAACATTGGCAATAATTTTTGCATCATAAGAAGTATGGCTTTCATATTTGGCATGTGTATTCCTTTTATGTGACGAGATCTTTCTGGTGTGACCTTGACCTTTACCAACAAAAAATCATCACATAGTGTGCATGCTTGAAACAGTACAATTCTGATGTCGCACTTCAGAATGTTGTTGCAACCGAGGCATAGCGTTTCATAAACACATCTTATTGATCCTATTTTCATTATGACTAAAAGTATCCATAAACCATCTTATTCAAATCACAACAGCGATTAAGTATATAGGTAAGACTGCAATAATTTTGCGAGATCATATATTCATGTATATAGTGAAAAACCATTATGTGATATCACCTAAAATATTTTCATGGATGATATCCCTTTATCAAAATGTGATAGCACTAAAACAATCAAGTGATAGGTTCATTGTTGTTTTACATGCGGAATGCAAATTGTGAACCACTTATTGTCAATTTCAATGAGTGCTTAAAGTACATTTTCCGTTCAACTTGTCAGCCAAACAAAGCATGTTAAAGTGTTAAATTACATGTGTATCAGATGTCTATTTTGATTAAGTGATGGAGTGGGAGTTGAATAACCGCTGCGTTAATGTGATAGAAAAAGTAAAACGGCACCCGGCATTTTTAGAGTGCAAGACAACTTGGGGCAGACATGTAGCCATCACCAGGGATAGATTAGAAGTGACGTATGTCACCACTTAAAACAACGTTTGTTTGATTTCTGGTGTAGTTCATTGAGGTTATGTCTGTATCCATATTATCACAAGTGGTCTTCCAGTCGTTTCTGGTGTGGTATATCGCCAAGTGAAATCCCATTTGTCAAGTTCCTGACGTCCCAGTGGTAAGGGGTTTCCTAAACCACGGACTTTCTAATATATATGTGGCCATATGTTAGGTACTATCAATCTCAGTATGAAAATCTTATTCAAAGCTGAATTTTTCCTTTCGTAAAAATAAACAGCATTACTAGTAAATCTTTACCACACTGAAAGATGGTTATTAATCTTCTTGAACGGTTCAAGGGTATGGCATACCAACAAGTAGCTGGCGTTTAAATGTCAGCCATTCTGTTACTTCTCGGCTAATGCTGCGTCTGAACAAAGACCGGACATGATGACGAGTGTTCCAGGTCTGGCAGACCTAAAAGACTACGGATATAGAAGGCAGAATTCTGTGTAGACAAACAAGGCGATCACCCATCACCACTGCCAACAGACCCAGAGGACACTGGAATGTCAAAGGACACATGGTCACCTGAAATGGAATATCATGTCATGGCAAAGATTTATCTGGTCTTATGAAAGCCGCTTTTCACTTAAACCGACAGACGGCATGGTCCGTGTTTGGAGACCAAGAAATATGGCATACCATTAGAATCATATTTTGGACACAACAATATTTGGTGTTGTCCGAATTCACCTGCCGTTCAAACGATTTATGTCAATGGAATCGATGAACGTCAGAACTCTGGCTGTATATAAAGTGAGGTGAAATAACCGACCCGCGCATGGGTCAGTGTACAAATGATAATTGTGGAGAGAAAACTTCACACATGCACAGCATTTGGTGGTAGCGACGTTAATGTTAGGGATGCTTTTCTCTAAACTAAAAACTTCGCTTACATGTCGTTGATGGACTCTAAATGGATTTCGATGCTCATCCATTGAAATGTCAGTCTTTCCTGCTTGGTGACAATGCCAAACCACACAGAACTCCTCCCTAATGCAAGACTATCCTCTACAAGAAGTGACAGAGAAGCTCCTATGTCATGCAGTGTCACCAGACATGAACCCTATCGCGCATGTGTGGGACTAATTTGGACAAAAAAGTAAGTGCATGGTATCTAAAATGTCAAACAACAGGATAATTACTGACTGCACTGATTCAGGAGTGGCAGAGGACGATGGGCACAGGATTTATATCACGTGTGTGCTGGCTATACATGCCACTGACATTTTCATACCCAATCGAACTCTTTCATTAGCTAAACGTGATCCAGTAACACGTTTTGGTGATTTAATAACGTACCTGTTAATAAAAGACAATTCAAATCTTCAAAGCTTTCTAGACTTATGGAATGTATTTTTGAGTAAGACTTTTTAAAATGATGCAGTACTTCCGGTTATATAAATTTATTTCCCTATCGACTGTGAATGTTTTTCGTTAGATGCCTAAAATACATTCATATATATCCTGTTAAACTGCAATTTAATATTTTACTAATACAACGAACGAAATTTAAGACCTATACAAGAGATGAGTTGTCCCGACCGTACGGCCAAGTTCTATAGCTTTTGCATATTAGTTAGCGAAACTTAGGCTGACTTGTGACGTAACTGTCAGTCAAGAGTTCTACACAAAAGCGCGTTTTGGACAAAATACACCAGATCATTATAATGTTTGTTATGATAAATTATTTGAATCTTAGGTATCTGCTGACTCAGGTTTTCTTTTGGGAAGATCTTGAGTGCATTTTGGGAGATACATAAAATCAAATGGTTGACTTAATCATCATTCCTGGAAATGGTTTGACCCGAACAACTAATTTCTCTGTGAAATTACTTTCATTGTTTTCTTCTACGGTATGCTAACATTATGAAGCAAAATTCCTGGCGCGGATCCATGATTTTGGGTTAGATCGGGCACGTATTCTTTAAAATGAACAATCTCCTAACACATCTTTTTAAAGTATAGTGTCCGACATCGAATTTCCGCTTTCCCCGTAATACAAAGAAATGAAGTCCCATGTATTGGGACAGATGATCGGCATTTGTCTGTGACCAGGTGCGTAACCAATCGGGGCCCATTAAAGAGCTTATAAGAAATTACGTCGCTCTACATGAAAGGAGACCCATTGTCCTTCGACTTTCAAATGCAGAGTTCTTGCTGCCCGTTGCAGTTGAAAACCACCTCTTGGATTCTGACTGGAAAAATGACTGTCTTCTTGTCGCTATTTATTGAGAAGAAAAGAAATTATCCTTTACGTAAATTTTGTACCCGTATGTGTCGGTTTTTCTCGGTCTATAGTGTTATGTTTAGGTTTGGGTACAAACGGAAAAAAGTCTACAAAAGAACTCCTTGGAATTGTCCAACCAAATTTCACAAAAGTTTTTGTTGATGCTATCTTATCCTGATTCTGTCAGGTCAACTAGTATTGATCATGATAACAAACATGACCGACCGTTGGAAAATTTTAAAATTACCTAATACCCGACTATTGTTCTGATTTTTTTAAAAAAAAAATCAAGTTTTGGACTAATTTGGTTGAAATAATGTTCAGACACAACGTATGAAATTATCTAAATACATACAAAATTTATCACGCCGGATAGATAATTCATACAAATGAGTTTATTAAAGTCTTTTCCTTGATGACCCTTTACACCATCCCTGTGATTCAAGTGCCGTATACCTATAAGCTTGTGTGACAAAATTTCAGTTTATTATTCTTGTCAATAGCTATTCACTTTATAATTTTTAGGGGATGGAGCGCAATTGGATACGCCATTGAGCAAATTGTTAAGTGATTTACTTAACAGAACGTAACATCGGGAAAGGCAACAATGTTAAACATTTTGGTGACATTGCCGAAAATTTGGTAACGCTGTTCCCTGCTGTCTTTTCATCCTTGTCAATAAAGAGCAAGGCCCCTAGCGACCAAAAGGTGAAATTGCTTTCCAGCACAAAGGCATGTCTTCTATATCTTAACTGCATAAATGTACCGTGTCTGTAATAGAAGCGATCAGTACTTATTTCAATGCTAAATGTCTTCAAATCCATGTTCATCTATTACGTTACCACAAGAGTGATTCCCCTTGTGGCGCTTTTCCGTTGTTTACCAGAAGTGACGTCAAAGCAAGCTCTGCTACTTCAGCCGAAGCAAATGAACCTGTCAGTTTGTGGAAATTACACGACCTGCAGTTCAGCCTGTTGACATTTGCCTCCAAAAAATGGATAATCAGTTGATTTGATGAATTGTGTGATATATGCTGGTGTTGATATGACGATTTTATAAATTGGAGCTGTCTGCTTGGGCAGGTGTAACTGGCCGCGATGGACGGACCATACACTCGAGTTTTACTTATTAGCGCAAATGTTGGTTCAATTTTTGAAGATGTAAGTATAATACTTAGCAAAAGAATTGTCGATAAAATGTAATGTAGTGTTTTTCAGCATTTTTTTCATGACAGTATACTATGTAATCTTTCATGACAATAATAAGAGACTACATGCCTGTGTATTGTTCGGCAATGTTTACAAATACAGCTGTGCATACCCTGCTATGCCAGAAGGCCTCTGTTGTAATGAAGGGCAGATCTTCTGTTTACTGTCTATCGACTCCCCGTAAACAATTCAGCGTGTAGACTTATCTTAATTGCAAAAGTATCTGCTAATGTGTAAAGTCAGTGGACGCCCTGTTGTGAGGGTTCAGCGACCTGTGACATGCAGCAGAATTACTTGTATGTGTTCATGATGAAACAAATCTAAGCTTAAACATTTACCTACTGTACGGTTCCAGTGTGAATGTAAAAAATAATGTCATTGCATTAAAAATTATGGCAAATGCTGTCCATTGAGATGTCGTGATCCCAAATAAAGTAACAAATTTGAAAATGCTGTAATATAATTTAGAGCATAACTGTATTGTTACTTACAAACATTGATACAGCTACAAACAAGACTATTACAGGTACAATATTGCAATGTTCAGCACTAAGTTATTGATTTGTGTAAACCAATCTACACCAGGTTACCATAAGTTTACCATCTAGAATGAATGCAGATGATGATTAGCTATTTCTTAATGAAATTTTTTGAATGAACAGTTTTTAATCATCCTAGCATGGCCATGGTAGGGAACATGGTCTATTATGTGATTTTTTTAAAGCTTTTAAAAAAATTGTTTTTGCTTAGAATATGTAATTAAAAACTTGTCAAGGTTGCAATTTTTTTGTATTTACTATATAACAGTCAAACACATTCGGGTAATATCTAACTAAGACTGGTTGTCATTCTGAGCTATGTGGCTTATCTGGGTACTTGTGACAGTAAGTACGCGTTCATGTTATAACAAAAATTAAGACAAGTTAGTCAAAACAGCTTTAATATAAATATACAACTGTTTTGTTAAATACAATTAACAGTATCAAAACTGTGCATGAGACATTTTAAAATGTAAATATATTGTATTATGTCATACAAGTTTGCACATTGAAAGATATCCTAAAGCTATTGATTGACATTTTAAATGCTCAAAGGAACTTCATTTCTTTGTCAGATCAATAGGCAACTTACACTTGTTTCTCTTATTGATTTGCCTGTAAATGCCTTAATTTTCAAAATTAGAATTTTGTAAATGAAAATATTATTAAAATTGAATGATATAGGGATTTATAATAAACACCAACAGGTTATAATTTTTAAATACTGAAAGCAGTAATTTTTTAACTCACAAGATTGCCAAGGCACTGCAAACACTGACCATTTCCTGGAATTAGTATCCCTTTACAAAATGATAAGGAAAGTAAGCTTTGGTACAGTTTTATACTCAGTAATTGAATATCCATATTCTACTGATTGTAATCGATGTGATGTGTTAACATGTGTCATGCAAAGTAGTTGATGTCATTTGTTAAATATTGTAAATTATTGAAATCATATTTTCAAAAGCATAGAATCTGTTTACATTTGTAACATGTGTAATAGTTCTAAATAAAACTTTTAAAGAATACTTTGATTGGGTTTTTGAAAGCAACATTACTTTTTTAATAAATAAAGATAAATGCTGGTATTTGCATTGATCACAGTAATGACAATAATTAGTCAGTCAATTATAACTTTGCTACTTATCCCATGCAAGAACAGTGAAAGAAACTGACATAGGAAGACTTCATAAATATCATTCAGGACCTCATTACCTATACACCAGAATATATCAAAATCACAGGCAGATTTTTACTCAAGAAATTTTTTGTCAAAGTTATTTTGGACTTAGTTCAAGGTCAGTGGGTCAATGGTCAGTGAGACTTTGAAGGAGTAAAAATGCCAATTTTCTCCAAAATATTAACTTTTTTATATGTAACTGAAATATGTCACACAAAACACCACAACCTTAACCAACATTTTGTCCGAGTGTCAAATGCAGTTTATTTATGGGCATGCTTTTTTAGTTTTAAAAGAAATTCAACTACCAAGAGAAACTTGAACTCGGATGACTTTCAAGGCCCAGTAGGCCTCTTGATAATAATGACAGTGATAAGTAAAAAAAGTGAGACCTGCAACACATTTAATTTTTGATAAATCATCTAAAAATGAATTTGTGTGTGATCAGAGATCATCCTAAATAACTGATAAAATTACATGCAAGTCTTGAATCCTACACTTGAAGAATTGTGACGGAAGTAATGGAATGTCTGGAACTACTTAAATTTAACATTGTTGGACTCATTGTTTTAGTAAAAATGTTAAATAGGACTAGGGAAAATAAACTGTATACTGATCAATGAAATAATGAAATCATGTGTGATTAATAAAAGATCATCCAAAATTATAAATTAGTGTGAAATTTTTTGGATCAACCGGAATATTCAATACTGTGTTATGAATGAGATCATCCTTTATTCATCTGATCAAACACCACCACATTTGTAAATACATGTTTGTATTCTTCATGCCTTGCAATAATTGCTGGTGTGTAGGAGTAAGTTTTGCTAGTATTGGCTAGGATTTTTAAACTGATCTTTATCATGATAATATCTTGTATCTCTCTAGTGCAGTGTAGGTTTCATGTATACACTGTAATAAAGGTACTGATATAATGTATGTACATGTACTTTTCACTCGGAATTTATGGTCTATCAATACAAGGATACATGTACTATAATCCAGTGCCACAGGTCATATTTTGACAAATTCACGATTGCCTGTTTGAAATGTTACCAGTTCAATTAACACCTAGCACTTGTCAGGTCTGACCTGGTTTATGTTAAAAAATTAATTATCAAAGAGTGTTGTTATATATAGTAACCTCTACATGTAATGTGCCAATTACGTGCAGTAAATATATATGTAAATACACATCTACTCCTACACACCAGCTATAACATCTGAACTGTCTACTTGGGCTTCCTGTGTTCATTAGCATGATTCTGTTTAGTTACCTTATATTGAGTATTGAAGTAAAGTAGTCCTGTACATATTGGGAAAAGAAAAGAATGATTATTGAAAATAGACTATGTAGTCACTGTCATTATCACATAATTTTAGTTACCAGTAGTTTTACTTAGAGAAACTGGTTACCTTTGTAAAAAAAAAAAACTATTTTTGCTTCTTTCATATACATATACCATATAACTGGTAATGAGCTCAGGGAGCCAAGACATAAACTATTGACAGATAAATCTGGTATCTATTTCTAATATTTTGTTGTTTGAACTCATCCAAATTTGAGAATGGAAGTGATATTTGAAATTGTTACATATATGTAGAGTTTAAGTTTGAGTTTGCTATCAGCGTTTAAATCTTGATCTATTGAAATATATGTACACAGAGGTCATAGAGGGAGCATTGGGTAAATAGTAACTTGTATACATGTAGTTGTACATGCTGTATATCATGTGTGGCCATGTATTGACATCCAACTCCAGTGCATGTGTAGGTGGATGTAGCTTGAGGCTGCAACTACTGCATATGTATCAGAATATCATCAGTAAAGGTATCAATGGTGACATGTTTTGTCAGAGTTAGTGAATCAAATTATACACTGCATATATTTGTATAGATTAATAGATTATATACAATGGAGCCTCAATAATCTGGACACCTTGCACTGGACAATACTCATCTGGATTATTTTCGACCCTCTAAATTTAGTCAATGGACCAATCTATCTGATTTTAGAACAATGAAGCATTATTATGATTCTTTTCATGGCTGCCCATTTATGTTGATAGTATTACTATTATTTTTAGAAAACATTTGTTATGGGCTAATAAATTAGTTAGTTAATAAATTAGCCTATACCAGGTGTTTTCTAAATTAATTAATTTTAAGGTTGAAGTTTGTTATTGCTGTTTCTTGAAGAATTATCATGGTCAAATTACAGATATCAGTTTACTAGTGACCAGTGCATATTGTTACTGTGAATAATGTTACATATCTATAGAGCCAAAATGTTGACTTGTATTATCAGTATTAATGTCAACTGCACTGTGGTTATGTTTCTATAAACTAAGTCTCATTCAAATGGATACCTAGTGAAATGTCAATGTTACAAGGTGATGATAAAGTACTTCTTAGGTCAGTATTTCTAATTGGAACCATGACGTAATAATGATATTCATTCAGCTATGAACCCATGCATATGTTGGTTTATCAAATGGTGAAGATCCATCCATATGTTACTGCTGTTAATTCATTAAAATGACAAACCAGTGTTATCTCATTGTCCTGTAATAAGCCATCCAGTTGGCTTATGTAAGTATGGCTCCTGGGCTTATTGCAGGTAAATTTGTATGATTTTCTTATAAACAGTCGCAACAACATTTTGATGTTTTACGAGAGTTATTCAGGATATATGATAAATGTCTAGGAAATGGAAAAAGTCACAGAAGTCAGACACAATTTTCATTTTCTGACTCATTTTCTTCCTCTTCATGCTGATGAAGATTCAGTGCTACATTTTCACTTTTCATTGATTTTGCTATTTCGTAGTCATGAATTTGGCCAAATTTAGAATGGCTGGTTGTTAGATTGTCAACATCTATGATGTGCAGTTTTGATTAGCATCGTTTGTAAATATATGTGATGTATGAACCCCATTAAAATTTGGGCTTGTTTTATGTATATGTGCAGACTTAACAGTATATTTGATTTGTTTTTCTTGAATAAATTAGGTTATTAAATTTTGTATTTCTAAATTAAAATATTATTCGTATCAAATATTGTAGTGGTTTGCATTTAGTAGCAATTGATTTTGAATACTCGGGGCAAGTGGTATACAGTTTGTGTAAATATATTTGGAAGTGGCATAGTTAGGAAATATGTACACTGCTGTCAGACTTTGATAGTGATTGTTATCTTCAGATCAGTATAGAACCCTGCTTACTCAGATATAAGATTAACAATTTGTTCAAATTTTACAATATTTTTTATTCTCAGCAGGTTAGAAGCAACTGTGCTATGTATCATCTTAAGTAAGATAACAGGTTATCAATCTTTAACAGGAAGACTTTGGTATACGTGACTATACATGGAAAATAACAAGAAGGCTCTGATAATAAAAATTTTTACAAGGGGAGATATATGGTATAGTGATAATGATATATTTGATGGAGAAAATGCCAACTGGACATATTTACTACAGGAGAGATTTAGAGCTCACATGCTGTTAACGTTTTCAAAAAACCTCCTCTTTACAATACAGATATACATGTTTGTGCCTTATTTATGGCATCTTTGGATGACCTTCCAATAAATTAAGTCAAGTGATAAAAACAGAATTGAGGTAAATAGCTGTACAGCATAAATAAAACCAAAAGTATTTTCATGATCTGCACTATCATCTGCAGTAATCAAAAGGATTATGATTTACATATGTTAAAAGATTGGAAATAGTATTTTGAATTATATTGTGATAAACAGGTTCACATATATTCAGGCAACATGATAATATATATAAGAGACTGTTTTCAAAGAATGACCCATAAAAATAATATATTGCAGAACTGTGTAGCATATCTCAAAAGCAATTGTGCCCTAAACCCTCATTTTCCTGATTCAAACTTAATTTGATCAGCAGTATTTTATTGCATTGGTTTGTGGCCCCATGATTGGCTGATATGTAGGTGAGTTGTTGAAAAGCTGTTAAAAAAGTATGTAATAAATATATGTTTCTGCTGAGAAAATCTAGTACTTGTAGTCTTTAATGATATGCTCTTAATCAACTGATATTATTTTATTTCTGCTACATATCAGCTAACTTTGTTATTAAAAATCTAATGTTTGAATTTACTAACTGATTTTGTTACTAATGTTTTACATATATGGGCAGTGTGAAGTGATGACATTTGGTATTAATTAATAATTTAGATTAGAAGATTTTATCTCTGAAAGTAATTGAAAATTTGGAATAGCAATTATATTGCATTGCATCAATGTTGACACGTGTTTATGGAGGCAATTATTTTGAAGACAGAACTGCCGTAGATTATATGTATATGAAATTACCAGTCTATTTGCTACAAATGCAATTGTATATCTGAATGATGTGATTTTGATATGATGGAAATAGTTATTTCAGACCCTTAAAGCTGCAATTTTACTTCACATCCCCAATTTGTATTACTTTCGTGGATTTAATTTCCGTTTTCAATTCCAGCCTGACCATATGCTGAAACTATGGCTGTCAGAATTCCTGAAGGTAAGAGGCTGTTGGATAGCTATGATTATTATGGTGAACATCTAGGTATTGACTAAAAGCCTTTAATTCATTTCATCCTAAAAGCTCTACACTGATAGAAGTAATTAAAGATAGAAAATTGTTACTGTTTAGATAATGTTATTTCAAACTGCAATTAAGTTGAGGGTTATGGTGTATGTACAGTGTAACTTATAGTTCTGAGTTTTATGCGAGTGTGTAGTTGAGGAGGTATAAGTTTATTTATCAGAGTAGCAATATTTAATAAGCTACAAAATTTAATGGAATGCTGGATTTCAAGGTTGATTTTGGAGTAGTAGTGAATATAAAATGGGTGGCTGAGTTTTGAGTAATATTAGTATTACTTGAACACTAAGAAGTAAAAAAAGAAACTGATAGTTTTCTGTATTCATAGTTTTGACTTCAACTTTGAAAGAATGTACAGTGTCCTATTTAAATGTGTAAAGTAATAATGAGTAAAAAATATTAAAAGAAAATATATTTATGACATTCTGGTCCGAATTAATTGCAATTTTATCGTTTTCAAAATGGGAGCTAGCTTAATGTTTGACCATAAAACTGCTGGTCTGTAGAAGTCTGTAGATAACAATGGTTGGATGGATGTTTGATTAACTGTTACTCCAGATGCAAATGTGAATATCGGAAACTACATATAGTCTCATGACAACATGGGGCTTATGGTTTAGATAGACCATGTCAGGATGTACAGAGTTAATGAGTGTGTCTTTAACAACTATAAAGCTATCCTTTGTACCCTAGAATATTTTTACAGTGGTATGCTACATTTGTTTCAGACCGTACAACATTATGAGCCTGGCCTGCTGGCTCTGCACTGCCAAGAAGTTGGTGGTAAAAACTATGAAGCTTCCATGCAACATGTGAACTCTTTTGTGAAGTAAGTAACATGGCAGATATTTATCTTCTGAAGGTACACTGACAGAGGTTTATAACATATATTGATTATACTCTACCCCCCTCTGGTATCATCCTGTCTGTCCCTCTGGAGAACTCGTATACTGGTGAAATGTTCCAATGAAATATTTCATATCAATATAAAATGACCATATGTAGTTGTGCATTTTTTTCCCCTGAAATTTTGGTTTTCCTGGAAAGTGGCCATCTGAAAGGGGAGCAGGGATAGATATTCACAGAATGACAGTTCTGGTTTCCACTTTATACATGGTCAGAACTCTTAAACATATTGTAACACGGTATGGTCATCCTTCATGATCAGTATGAAGTATATGTATGTATATATAGATAATATGTACAATATTTCACCTCTGATGGTCACTCTAAGCAGTATTTAATAAGGTATTCAACATATATATTAACATTGAATGAACATTCTCAATGATCAGTGTTTGGTATATTTGCATAAGTAGAGTTACAAAATTCATCATAATTTTGGTTGGTCAGTCAATGATCAGTGACCTAGAGTTATGAATGTTGAGTTCGGGTATGTTGTATGTAAACTTGTAATGAATTCACTATGGATAATAAGGTATTACAGAATTAGTTGCCAGCTGGTCACTCAATGGTCGATGTTCTTGTAATGTTTACAATATAGCCAATGTTTCACAGCGATATATATATATATATATATAGGGTTTTACAAAATAAATTAAGGTTTTGAGTGAACACTCCTTGTCAGTTTTATGAAAAGTACTCAAAAATGGTTAGTGTGATATTGATGTTTTTGACATATGCATAATGCTATACAGGATGTGTATTTAATGATCCTCAGTTAAAACATTGAGTGACAGCAACAATATTGTTAGTTCTTACAGTAACAATGAGTATAACAGAGTGTAATTATTTCATGTGTTTGTGTGTAATCATTCACATGATCTGTGCCCTATACCAAAATTCATGCAGAAGTATAGCCTTTATGAATGCAGTTTTCTGTCATTTTAGAGGGCTATTACTACCAGAGTTGTCATCTTTTAAGACTTCAATGCACTCTGGGAGAATTGAAATTTTCACTTCGAATTCTTTGAGTGAAAATATAAAAAAATTATTGCTTTCACTCTGTCAAAATACCTTTTAAATTTTCACTGTCAAAATGTATATTCTACTATGAAAAATTGTTATAAATGTATTCATAGGTGTTGTCACTCCATGGATAAATGGCCTAATTTTTTACAAACATTGAAATATTGGTACTGGTGGTTTTGGTTCCTGTACAGATATTGTAGTGTTGGTACTAGTGAGGTTGTGTCCTGTACAGATATTGGAGTGTTGGTGCTAGTGAGGTTGGGTCCTGTACAGATATTGTAGTGTTTGTACTAGTGATGTTGGGTCCTGTACAGATATTGTAGTGTTGGTGCTTGTGAGGTTGGGTCCTGTACAGATATTGTAGTGTTGGTACTATTGAGGTTGGGTCCTGTACAGATATTGGAGTGTTGGTGCTAGTGAGGTTGGGTCCTGTACAGATATTGGAGTGTTGGTGCTAGTGAGGTTGGGTCCTGTACAGATATTGTAGTGTTGGTGCTAGTGAGGTTGGGTCCTGTACAGATATTGGAGTGTTGGTACTAGTGACGTTGGGTCCTGTACAGATATTGTAGTGTTTGTGCTAGTGAGGTTGGGTCCTATACAGATATTTGAATACCACTGGTAGTGGTATTAGATCCGGAAAAGTTCATTATCTGTTCCTGAAGGCAAGACTGGGTTTGTTGGTGTTTGGTGTAAACAAACATGAATGTATACATTGTCTGTATACCTTTAGATATATCAACATATGTAATTAATTTCTTGCCTTACTTTTCAGACTTATAAATACTATCCTCAATCTTTACAGTGTGCCGTTATAGCAGCACACCCAGTGACTTGTGTACAAATACTTGTGTATATTGATCTTACAGAAAAGAACAAGTACAATGGTTTCATTAGGTCTTATTCTGCAATTAAAACACTGATGGAACTCTCATCATCATATATAGGCGTTAATAGCCATCCATGTTCCAACTGTATTTATATGCACTTAACTGCCACAACTAAAGGGGCCATGTGCAGGGGAATTACATATAATGTGAGGAAAATTAGAACCTTTTTTTAGGGCCTCCATATAAAGGAGACCAAATACCCAAGCTAACGAGGCTACATACAAGGGAGACCAAACACAAAAAATAAATGGGTTTATTCAGTAGCGACAAACACAAATTAAATAGGCGATATGGAAGCACATGAAATGTCATAACACAAAATAAAGGTCCTCTGATAATACAGAGGAGAGTGGAGCCAAAACATAGCCATCTTAGGATATGATATCTTATGAGTGTTAAAATGACACCATTCCTGATCTAATCTCGAGTATACACATGAAAACAAGCATACTTTTCACATTTTTAAATTTAGTCTAAAGTCATTATCTTATCTCCAGTATATGCAAAAAATAAGTATACTATTTCCATTCTTTGATAATTTGAGTCTAAAAGAGATGTAATTATCAACAAAATTAGAAAAAAATAAAATCTGCACCGTTTTGTTCGATATGGTCTGTCACATGGTCTTAGCCAATCAAATCACTTGTTTTTTTATCATTGATTACGTAGAAGCTTCACCCACTTTCAAATCTAGTTGCTGATGTCTGGATCAGGATGTAGGATGTGGAATATAGAAAGGCTGGAAATATTTCTCTGCATGGATTATCTGTCTAAATTGCTGTTTTTTTTAATTCCTAGTGTACATATCTACCTAAATTTCTTCATGTCTGTCTCTGAATGGTAAAGGTATTTGTTCTCTAAAATAGATCAATAAAACAACAAACATTCTGACATTACTGTCAACCTCACTTTTAAACAGAGAAAAGGTTAATTGGAAGATTATCATCAGCATGCTCTCCACTTCACATTTCGATGACACATTTGAGTATGTCATTATCATAAAATTCTCCAATGTTGACTTGTATATGGGGGATTAGATCATGAAAATTATCCAATTACAAAACATATTAAATAATCATCATTTTTCAATTAACGTTTAATCTCTTAGTTCTTGATAATTCTGTGTTAAATGTTTTTTCAGTAAAAGTATGGTATACCTATATAGTATATTTAAGTGAACCATTCCCATCCTACTGTACATATGTTAAAGATTCAGCACATTCTACAGAGGAATGAAAATAAGAAATTACTTGGCAGTTGTCAAACTTTTCTAATTAGCATATATCTGTATAGGATATTTAGCATTTTGATGCATAAAACCAGATTGACATTTTGGTGTATGTTGCCAATAGGACTGTACTGATTGGCAGCACTTAGGTTTGTTGTAGAAGGTAGGATAGTGATCACCACATGGTACTAGACTTACCACTGACATTTGGAGGGAGAGTTAAGGATCAAGCTACAGTAAGGAAAACTCACTTAATAACGTACCAGGTTTTGATATAATGTACAATAATTTCATAATGATGATGGATCGGTAATCAAGTAGATTATGTGTGTAGGTTCATACAGCAGACAGTACATGACAACAACATGGTAGTTCATACAGAATCCTTGTACATTTCATTAAAATAAATAGTGAATGGTTTAGGTTTATTGGTATATATAGTTCTCTATGGAAAAGTTTGAGAGGTCTTCCAGGGTATAGACAACCCTGGGTGACACAGTCAGGAATTCCTTTCCACAAGTGTAGACAACCCTGGGTGACACAGTCAGGAATTCCTTTCCACAAGTGTAGACCACCCTGGGTGACACAGACAGGAATTCCTTTCCACAAGTGTAGACAACCCTGGGTGACACAGTCAGGAATTCCTTTCCACAAGTGTAGACAACCCTGGGTGACACAGTCAGGAATTCCTTTCCACAAGTGTAGACCACCCTGGGTGACACAGACAGGAATTCCTTTCCACAAGTGTAGACAACCCAGGGTGACACAGACAGGAATTCCTTTCCACAAGTGTAGACAACCCTGGGTGGCACAGTCAGGAATTCCTTTACACAAGTGTAGACCACCCTTGGTGACACAGACAGGAATTCCTTTACACTGATGTAGATAACCCTGGGTGACACCGTCAGGAATTCCTTTACACAAGTGTAGACAACCCTGGGTGACACAGACAAGAATTCCTTTACACTAATGTAGATAACCATGGGTGACACCGACAGGAATTCCTTTACACTGATGTAGACAACCCTGGGTGACACAGACAGGAATTCCTTTACACTGATGTAGACAACCCTGTGTGACACAGACAAGAATTTCTTTCCACAAGTGTAGACAACCCTGTGTGACACAGACAGGAATTTCTTTCCACAAGTGTAGACAACCCTGGGTGACACAGTCAGGAATTCCTTTCCACAAGTGTAGACAACCCTGGGTGACACAGTCAGGAATTCCTTTCCACAAGTGTAGACAACCCTGGGTGACACAGACAGGAATTCCTTTCCACAAGTGTAGACAACCCTGGGTGACACAGAATTCCTTTACACTGATGTAGAATGGGTAACACCTCCTTTACACAATGTAGACAACCCTGGGTCAGGAATTCCTTTCCACAAGTGTAGACAACCCTGGGTGACACAGACAGGAATTCCTTTCCACAAATGTAGACCACCCTGGGTGACACAGACAGGAATTCCTTTCCACAAGTGTAGACAACCCTTGGTTACACAGACAGGAATTCCTTTACTCAGATGTAGACAACCCTGGGTGATACAGTCAGGAATTCCTTTACACTGATGTAGACAACCCTGTGTGACACAGACAAGAATTCCTTTCCACAAGTGTAGACAACCCTGGGTGACACAGTCAGGAATTCCTTTACACAAGTGTAGACAACCCTGGGTGACAAAGACAGGAATTTCTTTTCACAAGTGTAGACAACCCTGGGTGACACAGACAGGAATTCCTTTACACTGATGTAGACAACCCTGGGTAACACAGTCAGGA